ATTTTCAAAACTTTCTCCAAAAATTACAGTCATTTATTTCAAAGCAGCAGCGACGGTTACCCCTGATGTTCTCACAAACTAAAATCCATTGTGCAATTGAACTTTGTGTTTTAAAAAGACGCTGAATGTTGTTTGGACACTAATATCTGCCTCTGGATTCATACGTTTGCTCTTCCAGTCTTCAAGTGTTCTGTGGATTTGTAGAAGTGGGGGGTCATGTCAGGGGGGAGGGGGGCTACTGTGAGAAAATGTGGTTCCAGGTTACTAAGAGCCATTCAGTCCCTGAAAAGCTGAAAATGAATGCAGTGTCTGCATCATCGACAAAAAGTCAGAGATGTGTACGATGCATTTCGGCCTCTGGTAGGGCTGACCCTCGTTTGTGATATTCATGGAAGACTGATGAGTGTTTAAAGATCCCCTCCAGTCAGGGGTTGAAAAATGAATCTATATCTTAAAAACCAAAACCTTTTGATGAACCAATGACTGATCATAGAAGAGGGATGTGACGGAGGAATGTTTAGCAGATTCTAAAACTGCTCATTTCTAATGTTATTGTTAATAAAGCATTTCAAGATATATGTATGATCTGTATGATGAATGTTTTTAGTCATGATTTACTTCCACTGGCGCCCCATCCCCCCTGGGGCCCGTGGCGTTTGTGGCCCCTTTGTCTTCAGGCATTACGATCAGTGCCGGACTGCCGGACTAGAGAGGACATCAAAATGCTGGTTTCATGACGCAGGCACGCCTTACTAATCACTCAAAGGGTTGACTCATGGTAAATCATCGTTATTGTGATGTTTCTATTTTTTTTACACTTGTTGGAGGCTTTTCGCGGCCTACCTGCAGTACCCACATGGCCCACCAGGGGGCGCGGCTCACACTTTGGGAAGCACTGCTTTAGAAGATAGCTTTATAATTGTAAGATTAACTGATTAAAGATTGAGGCTTCATGAGTGTGCTCAGTAACATGTGAAAGTGTTTGCACTCACACCAGAGATGTAATATGAGATGTTTTTTTACAGACTTCTCACCAAACGGTTAAACCTGAAGTCTGTGTTGAAGTGACGCTGACCAGAATCAGATGCGGTCGTCCATCACTCTGTAATGTGCGGCCAAATCATGCAGCTGTTTTACACTCGGAGTGATCTCGGTTTTACATCGGGAGGCGATTCATTCAGAGCTGAAACACGTTATCAGCTCTGCTCCTGATCACTTCAACATGCTGACCCCAACATGAATGAGCAAGACATCGCTTACTGAGAGGGAGGAAGGATGGGGAGTCGCTGATCGCTGAGCGCTGCGGTCTCTAGAGAGAGAGAGTGTGTGTGTGTGTGTGTGTGTGTGTGTGTGTGTGTGTGTGTGTGTGTGTGTGTGCAGATAAATAAGTGTGCACATGGCCCTGCATGCAGACTGTGGGTGTGTTTTTGCATTTTGCAGTTTCTTAATCACATTTAGAAACTTAAAAGTAATAGTGTGGGTTATGTGATGTTAGAAATTCAGAAATCTTAATGTACAGCTGTTTAGAACGATAAATTTAAACACACAGCCACACTCACATTCACACCTACAGACAATTTAATGACAGCAGTTTACCTAACGAGCATGTCTTTGGACTGTGGGAGGAAGACGGAGAACCACTGACTGTGCATTTTAAATAGTTTCTGTTGAACCTACACACACTCTGTCAGCCTCCCTGTGTGCTCTACATCTCTTTCTATAACAGAGAGCACGCCTGATAACGACTCTGCGTGTTTTAAAAGACAGTGCACGGTCCGCGTTCACCTCTGCAGGGAAGAAAAATAGTGAAAATATTGTGATTCCAAATATTGGCGTGTCTCGCAGCAACAGCCGTGTGGACGTGTTTCCATCATCTCTAATGACCCGATAGTATTTCAGATATTCTCTCTGTGCTGTTGTGAAACGGCTGATAAGGTTTGTGTATTTTTTTCACTTGTATCTGGGTCAGCAGAGGGGGGGGGGGGGGGGGGGAGAGTTAACTGTTAACAATTTATTTCTTCTGTTTTCTGCACAGAAATTGAATTGATGGTTTTGGGATACACAGACAATGTTATTTGTTTTATATTTAGACTGCTGAGAGACAACAGGAGAAAGAAATGCCATCAAACATGTCAGAAGCCCAAACTCCTAAAGCCTCGAGCTGCTGGACCATTTTACATCCGTATCTTGAAGCTGTGAAATTTTCAACAAGGTTGAAAAAACAACCAAGCGACGTGTTGAAGAATGAGGCCAACGTGGAAGTGCAAAAACTCCCACTGGCCAGGGCCCTGGACACTTTACCACTTTGCCCACGCCGTGATCGAACCTATGGGAAGTGAACACGTTATGAGACAGAGCAGGACTCTGTTTGACACTCAGACGGATGAAGAGTCTCCTCCTCCTCTTCCTCCTCTTCCTCCTCGTCCCCTCCTCCTCTCCTCTTCCTCCTCCTCTTCCCTCCTCCTCTTCCTCTCCTCCCCTCCTCCTCCTCCTCTTCCTC